CATATGAAGCAAGTGGAGTAAAGGCTCCATTGTCTTGCAGAACCCATGGTCATTGTTCACACAAAAGCCGCGGCAAACTTGGGGCCGAAACTTCGAAACTTCGAAACTGGGAAATCAGCCAACAAAAACCAACCTCACCAATGCTGAGCATGTGTCTACGAACAGCCAACCTCTGGCTGGTAGATAGCAGCACCTTTGTTGAAGGCTGGCTGCCTGCTATCAGCTGATTCCTAGTGTGGATGACAGCGGCTATTGCCGTCGCTTTATCATCTTGGTTACGTACAGTCGATCTGTAGCAGTAAATGAATAAACAGTAGCAGCGCTTTTGTCGTCTAATTTGCTTACACGTGGAACAAAAAGCAAGATTGAGGGAGGCGGCGACGGCCAGACCATAAACGCCATTCATTCCGATGTGCCACCCAAGAGTCCTTCACCAGAGGACGGGTTAGGACTATCCAGAGAGTCCTGCAAGATACTCATCCTCCCTACTACTGGTACCGTACAAGACTTGCAGCCAGATTTCGTGAGATCATCCTGTTCCTTCATGCATGCGGAGTCATGCGCACAACACTACCGTACGGGTACGTGTACGCCGATTGTTTATTACCACCATCATTTTCGCGTCTTGGTTACTCGTAATAATTTGTGGCTGCCTTGTGCGTGACTATGAAAAGGCTCGATGTTCTCGAGCTGCGGCAAAGATTTAACATTGGCCTTCGTCAGAGGAGAATTTGGGTGCCTGTTCCTAGCTTCCACAGTTCATTTGACGACGCGTCACATTAGGAGCGGTCCATCTTGGTCGAAAGCTGCAAGCAGCTTGAACAGCTCGTAAAAACCTGTAAAACCCAAAACAGCTCAAGAACATGCTCATCGCCTTTGATAGCGCTTGTCCAACCAACCTTGCACAAAAGCACCTTTTGACAATCCCCAATCCACAAACAAACAAAAACACATGACCATGTTGGATATATCCGACATTTCGATGGATCTCTCGCACAGCAGCAGCGGCAGTGCAGGACGACGTCGTCGACGAGCGGCGTCCTTTTGCGTCGTTCGTGATCGTCGTCGCGTCCGCTTCTCTGTCATTCCCGACGGACCCGTAGCCGTAGAAATCCAGCACTTTGCCAATCCAGAATTCACATCTCCCAAACTCCAAGACCGCAAGGAAATTTGGTACTCGAGCATGGAAATTCGTGCCTTGAAACAACTCAATATGGATTTGTGTCGGCAAAAACAAGAACGAGAAGAGTCGCAAGAAGAAGACGACTCGGTATGTTGGAGAGGACTGGAACACCTAGTAGAAGGCGAAACCAAACGACGCCAACGCATCCAACATTTTTTGGCGGCCATCTTGAAGGTGCAGACGGAACGAAAGCGCAAGGGAGCTATTCGACCCGAAGCCATGGCCGATGCCCTTCAGTCCTTTTCACGATCTCAAAGTCGGGGCGATCGAAGGCGCGCTCTAAAAGTGGGAAAACTCGATTATGCCGCCGCACAAGAGGGTGACAGTTCCAATTTCGAATAATAGCAACACAACAACAGCAACAAACCAATACACAGGGCAAGTCGCGATCTTTCTTGCTGCGATCGTCGTCGGCCCGCAAATTACTGGGCCGGCGGTGTCGGCGACGTTCCGTCCACGACACTCCGGGATCAGGACCCACCGTGCAGCGCAATTTATCCCTCGATACCGATCAATTTCAAAAGCGACGAACCATCTTGCGGCGGGTATCCCATCGAGCGGCGGCCATGCTGCCCAATCGACGGTCGTCTACGCTCAGTGCCACCAGTGCGACCTCGTCGACACGGTCGTTGCAATCCACCGGATCGACGGCGTCGGCAACGTCGTCCAGTCGAGCCATCGGAGCGGAGGAGACAGCATCATAACGAATTATTAAAGAATGACGTTCTGGCGCCAATTTACGTCAGTAGTTTGTCTGCGTCCATCTCCCAGGACCTACACCAGGCCTTAGCTAGCTGGCTAGTATTCCTTAACATTTCGCCAATCAATGGCTGCAATGGTCGTCACATGGTCGTCACTTTGATGCTCGCTTCAACATGCGTTGTTCACTAGCTAGACGTTGGCTGCCGTAAGACATGAAAATAATGCGTTCTTTAGCCCACTACGATATCATTATTGCCCTTGGGCTGGGGCCGTAAAGGAGAGCAAAACACAGCTCTTCTTGCATAATAGTAATGCCTACCCTATCAAAGTCCAGTCAATGCAGCTTCAGCCCAAATTCCTGGGTTGGCTCGGAGGAGCCCATACCAGAGTTTGTCTGGACAATAATAAGAATAAGGGGTTTTCGCTTTGGCGGTCTCCAAGGCCACAAACAACTCATCCAATGGTGCCTTGGGATCACTCAGCTTGCCCCTTCCACATTTGTTGCAATCTGCCCAGTACTGGATTTGAGCAACAGTTGGCCTGAAATCTCTTCTTCTCAAGGTGTACCTGTACGCAAACGTCACATCCTCAAGCAAGACATTGTGTTCCATCATGCTGGCAAAATATTTGAGGGTCGCTAAAGAAACCATTTTTGTTTGGTAGCACTGACAAAGTTTCTTCACTGATGTGTTCTCTTTCAAACCATCCACCAGGCTCTCGAGAAAACTGACTCCAATGTCGCAGAACCCAAGAGATTCAAGGCGATTTTGTGCCAGGAGCTCCAGAATTTCATCACTGATGTTGACTTCACTCAGGTTGTTGTGGCGCTCATGAAAATTCAAGGAATTCAATAATGTCAAACCACAAAGGAGTCCAAGAATACCTTTTGTAGTCTTTGCACCCAATGACACTGCAAACTTGAAGCTTTGAAGTCTGCTGTTGGGTGGAATTTCAAAAGGGACGCACGCATCATCATTCTGTCTATACCCAGCCAAGACAAATGATCTGAGCTTGGCAAAAGCAGCCCGAAGCAGCTTGCTCAATGCTGGTCCATCAGTTTGTGGAAGCACTGTTACATTGAAGGCTTCCAGATTGTTTGTCCAAAGAAGAAGAATCTCCTGGTAAAGATTGCAGACTGCTTGGGCATCTCTGGCAGTTGTAGAACTCACATAATGTGATGGTTCCAAGCTGAGATCCTTGAGGTTTGGCATGACTGTACAGCCTCGAGAACTAGGTCAATTCCATTTTGGTGGATGAAATCAGAAAGCACAGAAAGGTGCAGATGTATCAATCGTGTGGGCGTCACTTCACACAACATACCCAGTTTGGATTGGAAGCATTCAATGTTGCGCTCGCCATAATTGCAAATTCCATCTAGTTGAAAGTGTGTTAACTTTGGAAGGAATAGTTTTGCTCGTTGAGTTGCGTTTGTATCCCACTGGGTGAAACGTCAACTCCAGCTTCCGTTCTTCAAAGACTTTGGACACTACAGTGGAAAGAAGATCAGACAATTCCTGATCATAACAACATCCAAGAATGAGATCTCGAACATCACAGCCCAGCTTTAGGTCCTTTGCCTCGTACCGGTAGCTTTCGAATAACACTTGAAAAATCTCGGTGGCCTCTTGACCCGGTGGCCTTGGCTCACAATCGAAGTCATCATAGTCATCGTAATCACATCGCTTGAGAAACAGCTCACATGGACCATCCTCAATAGCAGCTTGATCTGGAAACTCCTTCACAAGAAGCCGAAAAGTGTCTGGATTGGAGCAGTATCTGCAAGCATCCAATACAAAGTTTGGTTCCTCTTCAAAACCAGTGCTTTGCCAATCTTCATCTTCATCATTTTGAGGATTGATGGATTTCCACATGGCACAAAGCTCCTGGATAATTGAGCTTGGAACATCATTGCGCATAAAAAATGACAGCACTGATCGTCCCTGAAAGGGTTTGGTTACTAACGATGGATGCTGCCGCAACAAAACCATGGCATCATTCACGTGAAGAGTTCTTATTATTTCAAAATCAGATCTTGACTGAAGCAAGTCCCAAAGAATGCTACGTGAAGTGTGGATGCTTAAAGTGCCTTTGTTGTCGTTGTTGGTAGTGTTGTTGTTGGCTGTGGCGGCGATGGAAGCGGGCGGTTCATTGGATTCCATTCGTCTTCGTTTCAACTCCATTTCCAGCTCTTCCAGCTCCTCAAGGGAGTAGTCAGAGGGGCAGCGACGTTTCTCCTGGCTCATGTTTCATCAATGACAATCACAGCACAAGAGAAATTATGGTGGATGCCCGTGGGATGGGTGACAATAATACAGTTTCCGCTCGTTTCTTGTGGTCCCGATACTGGTACCAGTACCGTGGATTCTCCACTGTGAGGGGCGCGCGTGGAGGTGTGGTATCGTGATGAGATACAGTAAGCGCTTCGTAGACAAACTCGGTTTGCAAGGGAGGAGTTGTTGAGCCACTGAAGTGGAGCTTATGGTACCGGTACCGTAATTCCTGTGTGAAGTCAAGGGAATCTATCGATCAAGATACTACAATGAGGTTTCATCTGGTAGTTGTCGTGTTGTTGTGGCTGCATCTCTGCATGTACTAATACGCGGAAAACTGATACGCGGCGAACAAAAAGCAAAAATCTTCGCATCATGTACGGTACAAGTAGTACCCGCTATCGCTAACCCTATTTCGTCTCCCGGAGACGATTTGCTTTTAGGGGTAAGGGTACCGATGGGGAGTGGAGGTTTGAATTATACCCGGCGTGCATTACTTAGAGGCCTCTGTAGAAGTCTACGTATTCGACTAGTATTGTATTGACGGGATACAGTCAACGCATGTACATGCACATGAAAGTCGCCTTGCGTTCTTCACATTTTTTGCATGAATGAGGGTTCTTCACATTTTTCGCATGAATGAGGGATCGGGGCGAAGCAGAGAAAGGGATGAGCGCGCGGAGCGCGCGAATACAGTGTACTGTTTCAATAAAGCGAGTTAGGTGTTGGTAATAAAAGATTTATGGAAACGGAGACGAGCCAGGAGGCATATGAATTCTAGAGTTGAAAAAATGAGGCCACAGACACCAACCAACCAAGCAAGATCCAATCTCTGGCAAATGCGACGCAGACAATGATGCAGCTACCTACCATACCGGTACGCAGCAAAACAATTGATCATGGCTACCACAACCAACGACGAGAATGGCCAGTTCAGCAAAGGATCGGCCCCATATCCACGAGTTGTATCGCTACTGCCGAGCATCACAGAGCTCGTAGCTTCCCTCGATGCGGCCGAGCACATTGTGGGCATTACCCATGAGTGCGATTATCCTCCGGCTGTCATGGATCGCAAACCCCAAGTGGTAACATCCAGCGACATTTCTCCTTATTCCATGACACAGGAAGAGATTCACGAGGCTGTCTGTGGGTCACTCAAGAAGGGGCATTCACTGTATGGCTTGAACGCGGACGTTCTAAAGCAAGCTCAGCCGGATATTATCTTTACCCAACAACTCTGTGATGTTTGCGCCGTGTCATATCCTGTGGTGCTAGAGACTTGTGCCAGTCTAGTGGGAGGTCCTGGGGGCAAAGGCAATCAAGATGCTGATTCACCGTCCTCATCAATATCTTTTAATCCCAAGATTATCTCTATGGAACCCTCCAATTTAGCCGATGTCTTTACGACTGTCCGTGTGGCGGGCAATGCCATGGGGCCTGCATTTCTGGAGCGGGCTGAGACTCAAGTAACCAAGTGGCAATCCGACCTGGATAGAATTCAAGAGACGGTCCAACAATTGGCCCCCGACAGTCACCCACGGGTTGCCTTTTTAGAATGGCATGCTCCCATTTTTTGTGGCGGGCATTGGATTGCCGACATGATGAAAGTGGCCGGGGCTCAATATGACATGTGTGCGTCGGGGGCACGGTCGGTTGCCTGGAAAGACCAAGATCTTTCCACTTTGGATCCGGATTACATCTTGATTGGTCCCTGCGGATTCTCTCTGCAACAATCCGTGGCGGATACCAGAAGGTTGCTCTACGGCGAGGAGGAAAAGAATAGTAATACCTGCAATGATGGCAATGACGATGAGGAAGATACCGAAAAGAAGCAAAAGCAGGAACAGAGAACCATCTGGTGGAAGTCCTTGCGAGCCGTGAAGAATGGCAATGTCTTTTGCCTCGATGGCAATAGCTATTACGCTCGCCCCGGACCTCGTCTCATCCAAGGCGCCGGAATTATTGCTGCATGCATTCACGGACCGGAAGTCGCCCAAGCCCTGGGGGAGAAACTGGCGCCATCCAAGGGATATCAAAAAATGGGTACACTACATGTACAAGAGTAGATATGAGCGAGCTACGGTTGCTAGTAAAGTTGTCTGATAAAAGAAATAGGTTCTTCTGGTCTGCTGGAACATACGCCTTTGCAGCCTGCGCTGCTTTCAATCACGGAACCATGCTGGAACTTTTTGGGATGCGAAGGCGGGGTGCACGCCACGGTCTTGTGCTGCCTTTCTTCGTGTCATCATCGCCATCGTAATCATCGTCTTCTCTCAGAAGGCAGTGAAGGGTACCGGTATCGGATAGAGTCGGGAAGTTATCTCTGAAGTACTTGCAATCTGTCACTTTGGACTAGAGTTGTACCATAACGAAACCTCTATCTTTAAATCTGGACCTCCTTCCATCGTTCCTCAACAACCCGGTGGTGATAAAGAGACTGCATCATGGCCACGGTAGAGGCCCTTCAGGAGTTGCTGGATTCCTTGCTGCAAAGAGCCGAAGAAGACGAAGAATGTCTCCGTTCCATTTCCAAGACGGGCAATGTGATTATTCCACCCGAGTCGGCTTGCTTTGCCCATTGTGCCTACTGCGACAAGTATCGGCAAGAGCGCTTTCAAATTACCTGTCGCCGCTGTCAAGGAACCGTCTATTGCAGCTTTGATTGTCAAACCAATGACTGGAAGAATGGTGTGCATCGCAAGTTTTGCAGCAAGATTAGTCGCTTAAAGAGTCGGGTAGCGGAATTGAGCAACCAGTACTCGGAGACCAACGGTATTATGGATGTCTTTGATCGAACGAATGCCATGGTCTTTTACTTTGGAGATCCCGTCCGAGGGCTGGGAACCGTCGGTCAGGATTTCATGTGGGAGCGAATGAAACTGGTCCATGCGTATATGCAACAAGCCACGGAATCCATGATCCCTTCCAACGAACCCATGGCGCTGTTTTGGAGCGGTCGTCGAACCAGCCACGGAAGTAGAAGACTTCCTTGGAATCATCGATTGCCACCAGAGCCTTCGCAGAGCCATGAGAACACCAACAACAACACCGACAATACAAACAACAACACTTTGATTCATCCACCACCTCGTTGGAATCGGTTGGCACTGGAGCTGGTATTGGAACATTGCTTGGATTTGCTGCATCTGGATCCAGTCGAAGCCGATAGTTGCACAAGAACACTCGTCGCCCACTGTCTCTTGATTCTGGAACGATATCAACAGCTGTACGACTTTGTCAAGTATTGGAACATTATCCCTCGCAGACTTCGATCCATCAAACGGAATTATCCAGCCTTTTCCGAGTTTGATGAAATCTTGAATCATACCGCCCTGGAACCCAGCACGTTTTTAAGAATCCAATCACCCCAGAATTTCTTGGAAGATCAGTCCAACTTGGTGTTGCGTGCCCCGGCAACAAGACCCAACGATGACAACATGATAACACTATCATTCCCCGGTCCATCGCAAAGCGAAGTGGTGTCCGTCATGTACTTGGCATTGGCCAAACTGCACGTGTGCCAAGCCGTCCGGGGGATCCGATTGGTGGCCACCAGCGCCATTCCATCCATTCAATCCGATCTCATTCTGGCCCATATAGGGAGTTTCTTGGGCGTCGATGCGGACTGGCTCGTTCCAGATTCGGAAGATATCCTCCAACGTCACTGTCACGAGCTCTTGTCGTTTGCCAATGAGAGCATTCCACGGTTCCTACAAGATTTGGTGGCATGCCCCTTGAGACCCTACAAAGACGACGATAGCACGACCACTTCTTCCATTTTTGACGACACGTCCAATATTGTCCGGCTCCCATCCATTAATTTGGTTATTCTCAAGGCAGCTTGGATGGATCATGAATTCTCATGGAAGTTCCTTCTCGACTACGTAGAATCATCACCCCACAATCATCACCAAGTGCCTCGACATGAATTCCTGCAACAAGTATTTGACCGGGTCTCTCATGAGGCGTACAGTCGAGACCGAACAGCTGACGTGGGACGAGATCACTGGGAACAGGTCAAAGATACTCCTCCAGTCCGCCAACTCCTCAATGAAATGGATGGTGGCAATCAGTTGCTCGAGTTTGAGTTTTCGGTCACGCGGATAGTCTCACTGCTCGAAAAAGAGGGCCACAATACACCTGAAAATTTACAACTGCTGCTGGGCGACAATGTCGATTGCCAGTCGGCATTCGACGCCAATCGACAATTGGCTTGCCGGTATTTGCAGTACGTGCGATTCTTCCCCGATGTGGTCGCATTCACCACGGCGCACGAGATATGGATTCCAGAGGATTCGGTCGACACAGACAACTTTCAAGAAGTCGTGCGGCAACTGAAGGAAAAGACATTGGATTCCGAAGCGAATTTGAAACTCTTGTTTGGAGAGGGAGGACGAGTCTCGGATTTGCTGCTGATATATAGTCTGCTAATGGGCCAATAGGATGCAATTTTTTGAGAGCAAGCTACCGTAGCTAAAATCTATCGACTGTGACGTGCCATCGTTGCCGTTCGAGGCGCATCCGCTCTCGAAAAGGGCACTTGAAAAGGGACGGTACTAGTACCGGTACCTCATCAGCTGCGGTTGTACCCGCACCAGGTATCAACTGCTCATGCCAGGCATCGTTCCAAACTTCTATTGGATAGGAGTAGTAATGGTGAAGATGATTTCGCCTGTTCCTATAGTCAGGAAGCTACCATACAGTACGAATGCGTGACATGCATTGTTTCTAAACGAGTTTCTGCGGGTGTTGTTCTGATCTAAACCCACTAGAAATGAGTGGTTTCTCCGAGCTGGGAGAAACTCATCACAACATTTCATGTCCCCGACAAGTGCAAGAACCCTGGGACTGCCGTTGCTGCCTTGTATTTGTCTTTCAGAATCCAGTCATCGCTGCAGCAGCCCAATGTCCTGGGCTTGCTCGGAGCAGCCCATACCAGAGCTTGACAGGATCATCAGGGCACAACTTCATGGCAGTGTCCAACCCACCAAACAACTCATCCAATGGTGCCTTTGGATCACTCAATTTTCCTCTGCCGCATTTGTTGAGGTGTGCCCAGTAGGTGATTTGGTTTTGAAGAGTAAAATCAGCACACATAAACCCTAAGCTCATATCTTGCAGCGATACATTGTGTTCCATCATTTCAGCAAAGTTTTTGAGTTTCTCGCGAGAATTTTTTTGTACCGACGCCCAGACAGGTCGTTGTGGTATGCAGACAAAGTCTGGCTTGTGACTGAGTATCTTCAATGAGGTATTCTGTTTCAAAGCATCCGTGAGGACGTCAAGGCAACTGACTCCATCACATTGGCGCATCTTGAGAGATTCAAGGCGATTTTGATACAGGAGTGCTGCAATTTCATCCTTTGCGTCAATGGTAGCATCACGCTGAAACAAGTGCACATCCAGGTGAGTCAACGATGTCAATCCACGGATGATTCCAAGAATGCCTTTGTTGGTCTTCTCACCCAAAAATGGGCTGAGCTGTAGACTCTGCAGTATGTTGTTGTCTGGAACCTCAAAGGGGACCCAAGAATCTGAATCATTCTGCCTTGGGTGAGAGCAACCAACTGATAGATGACAGGATTTCACTTTGACAAAAATGGCACGGAGCAGCTGACTCAAAGATTGTCCATCTGTACTCCCGAGCACTTGTACAGAAAAGCAGTCAAGACCAGTTATTGAGAGAAGAATGCTGCTGCAGAGAGTGCAGAAAGCTTGGGCATCCGTGTTGTTTGTTAAACGGGGACTGTCTCCTGGTACTTCCAAGCCAAGCTCCTTGAGGTTTGGACATGACTGCAAGCCCTGTGCAAACACCTCTTTCCCATTCTGGCGTAAGAATTCGATAGGCACAGACAACCTCAATTCTGTCAATAGCTTGGGCTTTATCTCACAAAACATGACCAGTGTCCACCGCAAGTCCTTGGCATTGTAATTGGCTATAATCTCACGCGCAGTCTTGATATGGTTCTTCTTGTTGAGAGCAAGTGCACCAAGTGCCTCCAATCGTCTTCGTTTAAACTCAGCTTCTTGCTCTTCCAGCTCCTCAGTGGAGTCATCAGAAGGGCGCTTTGCCTGGCTCATGTTTCAACAGCAGATACAAGAGGAACCGAATGCAGCACAGCAATGAATAATGGCCGAACAGCAAAAATGAACTGATAAAACGCAAAACTATGACACCGACGATCGGAAGATGATTGGCTTGCAATTGGCATTGCATCGGACGCATTGGTTTTGTCGTGACTGGCACGATGCAGGGACGCGAGTTCATCTTCAAAACAAAAACCGAAGATCTTTTCCTCATTCGTGACTGGCTGAAGCTTCGTGACTGGCAACCCAAAGATCCACCACTCATTTTTTCTTCATGCTCACAGCCATGCAACCCATTGCTTCAGGCCCGTTCAAGTACAGAGACGATGAAGTTTGTGGCTCTTGTTTCGGGTGGCAAGGACTCTGTGTATTCGATTCTGGAATGTTGTCGGTTAGGTCATGAACTGCTAGCGTGTGTCCATTTGGGCGCTCCGCCAGAACAAGAGGAAGAATCGTACATGTACCAATCTGCCGCTTCGGAAGCCTTGACAACTCTGGTCGAAGAATGCTTGGGAGTTCCCTTGATTCACTACCGTCGTGTGGGTAAATCACTCCAGACAGATCTGGTCTATCAGCAAGTCCAAGAAGGCGATGAAGTGGAAGATTTGTTTCAAGCGCTGACACTAGCGAAAGAGAAATTTCCAACCGTCCAGGCCGTTTCCTCGGGTGCCATTTTGTCTACCTATCAACGAACGCGCATTGAACACGTGTGCAGTCGACTCTCCCTGACGTCCTTGTCGTATCTGTGGAGAGCCGCGCCACAGCACGATTTGTTGGATCGCATGATCAAAGATGGCATTACGGCCGTCTTGGTCCGAGCCGCCTGTCCGCCTGGACTCAAACCGCACAAGCATCTCAACAAGACGTTGCAAGAATTACAACCTTTATTCTTGAGACTCAATCAACTCTATCAATTTCATGTGTGTGGAGAAGGAGGAGAATACGAGTCTCTCGTCCTGGATTGTCCACTCTACAAGAAACGGCTCGTATTGGATCTAGTAGAAGTCGTGGAGCTAGAAGGAGACGAAGGAGTGGGAGTCCTACGGATACTCCAGTGTCATGCCGAAGAAAAAGACAATGGAGACTCGGTGGCGTCCATCATGACAACTACAGAAAAAGAACAAGTGCCAAAGGAATCCAAACCAATTCCCGTAATACCTTCAGGTCCACACAGCAGCACTACAATCGGCACTCCTACAATTCGCCCACGCTATTTGCCAAGAGTCAGGTTTCTAGGTGGAAGCCTTTGGCATGTCTCGGAAATCATGGTACCCATTACTCCCACCACAACTACATCCACCACGGAAGTCGACTTGGCCGTTTGGGAGGCCAAAATGGTGCTGGAGATACTGGATACTCTCTTGAAACGACATGGCTGCACTCCCCTCGACGTGATGTTTGTTCATCTCTACTTGTCCGAAATATCCCACTTTGCCAGCATCAACACACATTATCGACAATTCTTTGGCACGCTCCTGCCACCCTCACGAAGTTGCGTCGCCATTGGACGGAACGTCCTGCCCGGTGGTCGTCGTGTTTTCTTGGATTGTTTGGTGCAATGTGGCAGTGGCGCGTTCTTGAGAACACCGTCGTCGTCCTCTTTTCCGGCATTGCGACAAGTATTGCACGTGCAATCCATTTCTCGATGGGCTCCCGTCTGTGTCGGACCCTACAGTCAAGTCAATACGCTCCGAGAGGTCCTGCACTTTTGCGCCGGACAAATCGGGTTGCAACCCGCCACCATGACATTGCACCCGCAATGGAGCGACCAGTTGCATCAGTGCTGGACCAATGTGGCGTCGGTCTTGGATGCCCTCGGGGGTTGTTCCTTGGACCACCTCTTGTCCACGGTCGTCTATGTGGCCGATGGGGTCTATTATAATAATAGTGCTACTGCCAGTGGTGGTGATTCCAACGAGAGTAGCCAAGAGAAGCAACATGCTATTTATCAAATAGAGGACATCTGCCGGTATCAAATGAAGCGCAATGGAGGCATTGTGACTGGGAAAGTTGATTCCCCAATAGCAGAACCTCCCGATAATGATGATGATGATGAAGAAGACACGGATGGAAACGAACATAACACAACAAAACTGAACTGCCCGCTTCTTGTGGTTTCTATCCCCGAGATGCCCGTTGGTGCCGTTGTGGAGGTAGAAGTCATTGCTGCAACACAGAAAGCTGCGGCTTGCCTGCCACGAACAAGCACTTGGTTCTCGTCTCGCCACATTCCATTGGCGGTGCCCAACTCGGGACAATCATCAGCTTGGGATACTGGCCATGACTTTTTCCACAAGCCCTCTGGCGAGTTGCCAGAAGTGGAGATTGGGGCGAATTTGTGCACGCTTGGATTCGGGTCCGCAGGCTTTGGTACGGTCACTGCTCGGGTCCACAGCGATGGCTTGAAACGATCTGAGAGCCCTGATTTGGACACCGAGCAGGTTTTGCTTGACATGATTGGATGTCTCGAGAACGCACTGTCTGCCGAGAGCGAAGGAGTATCCGTGGGACCGAGCCTCTCCGATATGCTACACGTTCGCCTATTCTATCTCGGTGCTACTATTGACAATGGCAAAGACGGTCAGCGTTCACCAGAAGACGACGGTATCCTCCTGCGATCTTCGCTTCAATCCGCCTTCGCTTCCAAGCTCGATTCGTCCATAAAACCTGCGTTCAGCGTCGTCCCTGTTCAAGCCATACACCTGATCCAGCTTGCCGACGACGAGACTACAACTACGGCTACTGCCGAAACGGTGGCAAACACAGACATAATCTTGGCAATACAGGTTCTTCTACTGAATCCAGTTTCCCTTGAAAGTGATCTTTGGATCCACCACGGCAAATAATACGAATAGGTGAATCTTTGGGTTGCACATCCAAGCCATAGCACGTTCGTCAGTGGCACTCCATCCTGAAATTGAGATGCCAACAGCAAGAGTGATCTTTGGATCCACCACAGCACTTGATACCAATACTTGAATAGGTGAATCTGTTTTTGCATCCAAGCGAATGCCTACTCAGGCTCAGTCCTCGTAGCAAGATGTGCAACAATTGCATTGGACCCGAGGATCATCCCCAGCGCAGTCGGAGCTCAACTCGGTAATATACTGCAGCGAACAAAGTGCTGGTGGCAGCAAGCCCAAGAATCGATTGCCGTGCAAAGTAACACTCCTCAACTCAATGAGACTCGAAAGAGAGCTGGGAATAGAACCTCCCATCGTATTGTTGTTGAGAAACAGAGTCTGTAGCTTTGTCAGCGCGGAGAGGTCTGGAATTGGACCAGACAGTAGGTTTTCCTGTGCTCGAAAATGCTCTAAGGACATCATTTCTCTCATCGTTTCGGGCAAGAAATCTTCCAACCGATTTCCGAAAAGATACATACTCTCCAGCTGTGTCAGTGATCCAATTGTGTCAGGCAGCTTCCCAGTCAGCTGGTTCCCATCCATGTACAGAACGGCTACGAGGAAAGGGTGATGTGAGGTTTGGGGTCAGAGCATCGTGGTCTATACATCAAAGTCAAAAGCGACTCACTCAGTAAGGGACATGCTCCAATGGAGTCCGGAATTGTTCCAGTGAATCGATTTGCGTAAAGTTGTAGGTCGCCTGGGGACAAGGGAGGGGAGTGTCAATAACAATCTGAATACTTTTTCGTTTTCACACGAAAAACCAGATACATACGGAGAAAAGAGAAGGATCCAAGGGATGGGAGGGGTCCTGAAAGGGCATTGTTGTCAAGGTACAGGATCTCTGCAATGAAAAGAATCACAACCTGAACCTGTTAGCTGTGCCACTTTCCCCACTTCGCTTGATCCCCACCCAACACGATTGACCAGTGCGATCACTTACGGAGCTTTTCAAGGTTTTCAATTCCTGTTGGCAGTTTACCAGTCAGCTGAATGCGGGCACGGCTTCCATTAGCAGGCTCCATGGAAATTTGACGCAGACCCTTTCCTTCGCGTACTCCTTCTTGTACTCACCTGATTCCGCCGCAAACGCAGGTCGGCCATGGTAGTGAGCTGCCCGATTGATGCAGGGATTGTTGATGTAAGCTTGTTGCCATCCAGGTAGAGTACCTCTAGGTGAGCAGCATGACAGCGACAACAAGATGAGCAATCTTGCCTCCAGCAAAAACATCACAAGGGACGGAAGAACTCACGGATGCTTTTCAGTCCTTCGATTTCGTCGGGAATAGAACCAGTGAGTTCATTGTTGTGTAGCCCCAATCCCTCTGAGAATCAATCGAGGGCGTCAAAGCAATGCGATGTGAGATCGCGAGCACTGCAGAGACGACATGGCCCCCTGAGTCTTACGTATTTGGGTCAAGCTTCCAATCGCCGCAGGAATCCGGCCCGTCAGCATGCAGTCGTTGACGTAAAAATGTGTCAAGTGAGGAAGCTGGTACAACTCCTCTGGGATGGTTGACTCGAAATCGTTTGGTCCTAGATAAAGCTGGTCTACATTCCATCGGGATTGGATGTGAGTCAGGAAGAAGTAAGGACGGCGAAAGAAGGTTGATATCTCAACTCACTCAGATTCTTGAGGCCTGCTAGTGCTTCGGGGATTGTTCCTCCAATATCATTGTCCGAAACATCCAGTTCTCGAATCTCAAGCTCTAGGAGACCAAGCTCGTCAGGAAGAGTCCCTTCTAACCCATTCGAGGACAGGTTCAGACTCTTCACCAAACCCCTGGAGGCGCTGCCAAACTCGTCCTCGTCAAGGCAATCGACGCCGTACCAGTTGCAAACAGGCGAAGCGGACAGCCAGAATGCTGTGTCGTCCCAAGATGAATAGACGATTGATTCGCCCCACAAAGTGCTGTTGTGTGTGCTGAAGAACACAGTTGCAAGCACATATCTAGTCCGGATAGTCTCCACTGAAACTGTCTTGTAGTTTTTGAGCAGCATCCCATCCTCGTACGAAAGCCAATGCAGAGCACGACCCGACGCACTAGACACATCTTCCAACGTTTCTCGTGGTGTGCCCCAATCTAGGATCAGATTGAAGAAGTGGTTGAAGCGCTCAAGACCGGCAGCACTAGCGACACCGTCGTTGGGGGTTTGGTCGTCAATCACCTCGATATCCTGATCTCGTGTTTGCGTTTGTTCCGCTTCCTCCTCACCAACGTCGACTCCAAGGGAAAAACTCAAGATAATCACCAGGAGGACAATTGCAACCACGGCCGTCGTAACCTTGTTGTTCCTCCACCATTGGCTTCGAGTTGGACGATCAGAGTAAGGGGACTCGACACTCTTGCGTTGTGCCAAGGGCACGCCAGACAAAGCATCAGCAGCCGCAGCCGCCATCATTAAATTTTCGTCTGCTTCCAATGGCATCTGGAATGTCACGGTGTGGTCGCTGTCGGCAATGGTGTCCAAGATATTCATGTGTCTCTCTCGCTGACGAGGAAAGGCAAAAATATAGTAAGTGCGATGCTGTGGAATAGGCACTCCTTTTCCATCCTTTTCTTCGTGGCTCACTTACCAAGACGCGTCGCTCATGCTGCCGAGCGGCATTTTCGAACGTATTCAGCATTGTCGTCGAACAGATTCTTGTTAAGCGATACAGTCCTTCGGTTGGTTGGTTCTTGTGATCAACGAAATGGGCTTGATTCGATGTGGCCTCTTCGCTTTCGAACAGCTCGAAGTCGGAAATCTTCCAACGTGGAGTGAGTCTCCCACTTCCGCACTAACTCAAGTCTTGCACGCTACGTGTAACCAAGCAAAGTGTTCGCCGGCACCATACGGATTGAATCATTCATACAGCGTGCAATGTAGATGAATGCCAAATAGTACTGCTGGGAACCTAGTTGAGCCTACAGACTAACAAATCGTGGGATTGGACTGTTGAGAACCACATGTTGAGAGGACTGCGCTTCACCGTTTCGCTCGTGGTCACTCTGTACAAACGGCCGGTGGAGGTAGCGGTAGGTACCGTACCGTACCGTGCCGGTACGATAGGGGTGCGAACATTCCGGTTTCGATATCGTTCCGCTACGGTACATGTACCGTCGTTGTCACATGGAACAAAACTCAAGAAAGACATCTTGTACGGTTACATAGCTACCGTAGCTAAAAGAGTCCACCAAAACGCATGATGAACAGCAAGGTCCTGAAATGGGACTACTAGTAGTTTCACGCTTTTGGGTTAGTTTCACCCTTTTTGTTAGTTTCACCGAAAATGGACCACGTTTCCTTGAAACTAACCCAAAAGCGTGAAACTAAGGGGGTGGGCGAATCTTGCTATAGCGCGGTAGTGTACTCAACAGGAGTGGCGAATGTAAGAAAAAGGAGCAAAAATAGATTTTTGCAGGAAACAAGAATCAATTGGATTAGATTGCATTGGATTAGATTGAATTGGATTGAATTGGATTCAGAATAGTACTGTTATTTATATAGTAAACTGGAATTCAATGCAATCCAATCCAATTCAATCCAATCTAATCCAATAGAAAAATTGCATCCAAAAACAAATATTCGCTTTTTCACAGACAATTTTACAAACATTACTATCAAATACAATGCAGGGTTATGGCAAGTTTGCTCATCCCCTAACCCAAAAGCGTGAAACTAACTCAAAAAGCGTGAAACTGACCCAAAAAGCGTGAAACTAACCAAAAAGCGTGAAACTAGTACAGTATCTGTGATAGTAAATCAACATAAACACGACTAAAAGTGTGAAACTAACTCAAAACCCAAAAGCGTGAAACTAACCAAAAAAGCGTGAAACTAACCAAAAACGTGTGAAACTAACCAAAAACCGTGAAACTAACAAAAAGCGTGAAACTAACCCAAAAGCGTGAAACTAACAAAAAGCGTGAAACTATCGTTTGAGTCCCGTTTCAGGACCTTGCACCAGGGCCCTGTGGTCTACCACGGCTCAACGAACGATTCGATTGGATTGAGATTCGATTGGATTCGATTCAGTCTGCAATCCAAATAACCCTGGCATTCAATTAGAGGTACACGTGTACCAGTACGGGAACCGGTATAGAGAGATCGTTTAGTTTTCTCGTTGATGAAGCGTAGGCTCGCAGTATGGTGGTGAGAGGAAACCTTGGTAGTAGTCCTGTCCAGAGGAGACAATACTACCGTATAAAAACTGAATAAGGCACAACCAACCAGTCAGGACGAGGCAACCGATAGCCACGGGTAATAGCTGGGAAGAAAGTTAAAAGTGAATTTACTGTACCAAAATCGATGTTTCATTATTTCCAGTCTGAAACAGCGTTTCATTGTTGGGATACCTTTGGACTCATATCGCTGGTTTCACGAACAGCATCCGGACCCAAAGGAGCCGCGACTCTTTCGATCGTTCCGATCGTAGCCGTACGGTTGCTGCATCACACCCACGAATCGAATCGATGACACAGGTATGCGGTATCTGTACAAAAGAGGCCAGCCAGTAGACTGGTCAGCCCACTTTTGTCTGGAGAGTTCTGCAACGGAAATGATATGGTTGACACTTCCGAAGGACGAAGTTGGATGTCGTGCAACAGCAAAGGGCTTGCCAAAAGAACTCTGTGTACCAATTTTGTGGGCCGTCGACTAAACGAGGTCAACAACGAGGATACTGGTCATTGAACTGACCTCCAGACGTGTGTTTATTTAATGCCATTTGGGATGATCAGTCACTGTCACATAAGTAAATTTTAAGGTTGCTGCTTCTGAACGGAGACTGGGGGCTTAATCGAAGGAGAGGCTTGCGTTGCTCTCTTCTTAGCCAGAGAACCCTCACAATTTTGTGCTGTCACGACGGAAGACAAGCACATATTTCTTCATCAGGCGGGTGCTTTCGCCTGAATTGAAGCCACGACGCCAAAAGTCGCAGAGGCACATCCGAATTGAACATCGCCAGGACTTTGTTGCTTTTGGACACACATCCTGAACAATAGAAATCCGTAGAAACGATTTCATCACAAACACCCATTCGTCGCTGTCGTTGCAACCGGAACACTCTACCATGTTCCATCGTAGTGCCGTAGGGCTGATATTTTTATTGACGGCTCTCGTGTTTGATGCGAGAGAAGTAGCCGCTAGAGTTGGCATCAAGGGAGGCCGACATGGAAATCTGAGACTCGAGAGGAGACGCCTCAAATCAGGGATGTCTACTATGAGTTCTATGAGTATGAAGGCCAAGAAAATGATGGACCCAAAGAGCATGATGGGAACTATGAAGGCCAGCATGAACTCTGGTAGTACGAAGGATAGCAAGAGTATGATGGACAGTAAAAGCATGAACTCCGGCAGTATGATGGACTCGAAGAGCGCCAAGTCTAACCCAAAGCCAAAGGGCATGAAGACAAGGAAAAATGGAGGTGGCAACATGATGCAAGCTCGCGATGACGAGTATGCAGCATTTTCTGCCGACAAGTCTGCCACTGAGTTCCCTAAAGGTCCAACAGCATTCAAGTCGGCAACTGAGCTTCCCTTGCCAACGCCGAGTCCGACATCTCCTCCAGACGATACTCCTGCACCAACCGCCAGCACCCCTGAAGCCACTGATGCCCCCACTGTCCTGCCACCGGGAGATGAGCCCACCATGGTGCCCGTCGAGCCAACTGGAGTACCAGGAGTTGAGCCAACTGGAGTGCCTGGAATCGAGCCAACTGGAGTACCAGGAGTCGAGCCAACTGGAGTACCAGGAGTCGAGCCAACTGAAGTGCCAGGAATCGAGCCAACTGGAGTACCAGGAGTTGAACCAACCGGAGTGCCAGCAGTCGAGCCAACTGGAGTGCCTGGAATTGAGCCAACTGGAGTACCAGGAGTTGAGCCAACTGGAGTACCAGGAGTTGAGCCAACCTTTGTACCTGGAGTTGAGCCAACCGGAGTACCAGGAGTCGAGCCAACTGGAGTACCAGTTGAACCCACCATGGTGCCAGTTGAACCCACTGGACAACCCACCCTTTTGCCAATTGGAGATGAGCCAACTGCAACTCCGACAGTCATTACAACAGCAGATCCAACCGCTGGAGGAACCACAATGGAACCAACGTTTCTTCCGACTCAAGGCACTCTTGCTCCATCTGGTGGAGAGGGAACAATCAGGGTCAACATTGACATTACATATTTCATTGACAATGAAGGAGAACTCGCAAATGTCACATTTGCCCCTGGTGACAGCCCACCCACTGCCACAGAAGAGGAACCAGCAATTGAACCTACATCGGCACCAACATTGACAGGTACAGCAGAAGGAACAGCAGCAGGTACACCAGCAGGTACACCAGCAGGTACATCAGAAGGTACTGCTGGAGCCACGCAGGTTGACTATGAGACCTTTGATTGGGAAGAGCTGCCGGCAGAAGTCCGTGCAGCGGCTGAAACACTAGGGTATGTATGGAGGAACCATGAAGAAGGCTTGCGTGTTGCTATCTTTCTAATGTTTTGTTTCGTTCTTTAACAAAAAGGTATGACCAGAATTCATGGGACAATGATTTGCCGGTTCCTTCCGATGAATTGTTTTGGGCACAACTCTCGCCTGAAGAGCAAGAAGCTGCAGCTGTATTTGGATATGATGAAGAGTCCTGGAACAACTCAAAGAGGAAGAAGAAAAAGAAGAAAGGCTTCTGGTATGTTCGCAAGCTTCAACAACAGCACCGTGAGGTACAAGAACTTGGCAGTAAGCTTGAACAAAAGCACCGCCAGGCACAAGAACTCATCATGCCAACAGATGAAGAAGTGGACACACTCATTGAAAACACATTTAACTTCTACATGGAAGTATTCTTTGATGTTTATGCCGACACTTTGGTTGACATGATTATTCCCATTGAAGTTCCCCATAGCCAAGTGGAAGATCTTGGCTACCAGATCAGTCTTACTCTTGATCTGACATTCTCATCTGTTCCACCAGATGATGATGTCATTGAAACTATTGAAGATGCAGACTACCAAGTATATGTGTCCGACTTTGTTATTCCCTCAGGTCCATACTTTGCGCAGACTGATGGAGTAGCTGTGGTACCCACCATTGTGGGTGAAGGAGAAACTGCAGCGCCCAGTGCAACAGATCCAGGGTTGCCAGCTATGACACCACCACCTTCTGTTGAGACTGATTTACCAGAAACAACAGATGCCCCCATTACTGATCCTCCTGTTGAAGAAACAGATGCTCCTATTGAAGAAACTGAAGCTCCAGGGACTGATGCTCCCGAAACTGAAGCTCCTGGAACAGAACCTCCTGTTGAAGAAACTGAAGCTCCAGGGACTGATGCTCCTGGAACTGATGAGCCTGGCTTGCCAATAATGACTCAGGATCCTGTGGAAACTGATGCTCCTGGAACGGATACTCCTGTTGAAGAAACTGAACTGAAGCTCCAGGGACTGATGCTCCTGAAACCGATGTTCCTGGAACCGATCCTCCTGTTGAAGAAACTGAAGCTCCTGGAACCGATGCTCCTGGAACTGATGCCCCTGGAACCGATGCTCCAGGGACTGATGCTCCTGAAACCGATGCGCCGGGAACGGATCCTCCTATTGAAGAAACTGAAGCTCCAGGGACTGATGCTCCCGAAACCGATGCTCCTGGAACTGACCCTCCCATTGAAGAAACTGAAGCTCCAGGGACTGATGCTCCCAAAACCGACTCTCCTGGAACTGACCCTCCCATTGAAGAAACTGAAGCTCCAGGACTGATGCTCCTGAAACCGATCCTCCTGTTGAAGAAACTGAAGCTCCAGGGACTGATGCTCCCGAAACTGAAGCTCCTGGAACAGAACCTCCTGTTGAAGAAACTGAAGCTCCAGGGACTGATGCTCCTGGAACTGATGAGCCTGGCTTGCCAATAATGACTCAGGATCCTGTGGAAACTGATGCTCCTGGAACGGATACTCCTGTTGAAGAAACTGAAGCTCCAGGACTGATGCTCCTGAAACCGATGTTCCTGGAACCGATCCTCCTGTTGAAGAAACTGAAGCTCCTGGAACCGATGCTCCTGGAACCGATGCTCCTGGAACCGATGCTCCTGGAACCGATGCTCCTGGAACTGACCCTCCCATTGAAGTAACAGAAGCTCCAGGAACAGATCTTCCTGGAACTGAAATCCCTGCAACTGAAACCCCTGGAACTGACTTCCCTGATACCGAAAATCCGGGCACTGTGGTCCCGACAAGCACAGAGTGCCCCTCTACCATTGTGCAAGATGGTAACGTTACATACATATTCTTCTTTGCAGATAGGGCACTCAACGCAGACGAAGAGTTGCAGCTTGCGGCAGCAACTTTTGAGTTCTTCAACGACACATTCCAGGAAGCATTCCCAGAGACCTTTGTTACCTTTGCGGGTGAGCCAACATCTTCCGAATTCTTACTCGACGCGATACCCACTCAATACCGACTGAGTTTCACCGGCCAATCGGTCTTCTTCCCCTGTGCGCCCCCATTGGAGGAATTCCAATCCGTTCTGGATAATGCTGACTATGTGGCTTTGTGGAACGAGTATGTGCGTCCTGATGCGGCTGTGCCGGGCAATCTGTTAGTGTTTGTGGAGAGAGCGGAATACACAGGGGTCATTAGTTACTTGTAGCTCTTTGGATGATCAGTCCAGTAAGATGGTTAGATAATTTATGTTTTGTACACGTACTTAGTTTCCTTTCGTTGTCTGCTGCCTCTCGCGGCGAAGTTTCATCGATGCGCAGACCTGATGGGAATGTCATGCATGAAAGTCCCCAAAACCAATAGTAAATGATGATGACCCGTTGCTGTGCAATGACTCCTCTCTTCCCATTCCTCCGCAATGATGCTCCCATGTGCCACTACCAATGGATCCTCTGCAGCGGCTCTGTACATGGAATGGTTCAGCGCAAGGCATCTGAATCCATAGATCGATAGATTTGATGACGATGACTTTTACCCACCACATCTGCCCTTACCGTACCTGGTACGGTACCAGTACTTCGAATTAGAAACGAGACTGTGCTGTGGTGGTGTGCGAAAAGACGAGCGTCGGGGCAAGTATGCTCAGGAACCTTTGCCATCATACACATCTACTGGTAAAGATACCGGTACCGGTCCTGTCTCCTGGCTAGCTAGACGATTTGGATAGCACGGATGGAGAAGGATTCGATTGACACAGCTATGCTGCATCCAGGAGGGGGTCAAAGTTACCGGTATGGACCATATTCTTTGGCGCAGTTGCCGGGCGGACGGATCTGGGATTGCAAGCATGCTGACATTTGTCACGGTATTTCTGTGGTGGCAATCCCCAGCTACCGGTACACGCCTGGCCAATGCACTGAATCGAATGATTCAATCTACCCAGCACTTCATCTCTGCGGTGTTGGTAGCACCCTGCGGTAGAGATCGGAGATGGATCTTGTCAGTGCCGGCTTTTTGTTTTTGGCCAAGCCGTACTCAAACTGCCACACAACATTGTCGCTGACGGATCTCGTTAAGTTGCCGTTTCTAAATGCTTCGTACCTTCCTGCACCCATTTTTGTCCAGCTCCTCACATTTTTTGGTCCTCAATTCGGCGGCGCCAGAGACATCGATCATGTTGCTGTCTTCATTTCTCCTCGTCTGGCCAATATTGAGCACGTCTTACATCACAATACGATCAGAAGACTGGTTACTATCTTGCTTGTGCTGTCTGCCATCGATACTCCCTTCTATAGCTAGCTGGCTTTGACGCAATCCAACCATGACAACCAAGGGCGCGAGAAGAACTGCATGGCTGTTGCTGCTAGCTCTGGTCCTTCAGCTCGCCATCACCGAGTGCCGAGAGAGAAATGTTCGGGGAATGCCCAAGGGAGTCCCGATACGCTCAGAAGGTCGGCAGAGGGCCCTGATGAACATGATGTCAGACACATACTCAGACTCCGCAGAAGACGAGAGCAAGGGCAAAGGCAAAGGCAAAAGCGAGGCCAAAACCGTGAAGACAAGCAAAGAAAAGAAAGGTGTCATGGGCAAAGGAAAAAGTGCCACATCCGAAACCACCAAAAGCAAAGCTAAAAGTGATAAGGGTGGAACAGGAGGAATGAAAATGAAGGGGAAGAAGGTCAAGAAGACAAAAGACAACGGAATGATGAAGATGATTGACCGTACAATGAAGATGGGTAAATACCAAAGCGACGCTTACGAGGAGCCAGAAGACGAGGACATGCTTGAAGAAGGATCCCCTGATGCAGATGTTATGGGCATTGAAGAGACATCTCCCGATATGCCGACAGCAGCACCCACTCCGACACCCGGCGCCATCACCGTGAATACTACCATTGTGTACTTCCTGGGCGAAGACAGGCGAAGACTCCAAGAGGCAGACGAGGCGCTGCTGTATCCCAAGGAAGACGAACTTGATCGGTTGATCAATAACACGTTTGACTTCTATGCGGGAGTCTACATTGAAGAGTTTGGAGATTCTCTCAAGGATATTATCCCCACTGCTGTTTTCACTGATGGTGGAGGTGAGGGGTTCTTTGTTCTGAACTATGAAGCTGTTCTCCTATTCTTCCCCGTACCACCCACCGATGAAGTGGTTGAGGTTACTACTGACGCAGACACGGATGAATACATCGAAGACTTTGTTCAACCTGCAGGGCCCTTCTTTGCTCAGACCGAGTCTGTCGGCGTCGTCGCTGTCGCATTTGATGGTGTTGAAACGGGTGCCCCCACCTCCATCGAAATTGAGATTGACACAGATGCCCCAACTCCTGTCCCGGAGACTGCTGCCCCCACGATGCCCCCCACTGTTGCCGAGACCGCGACTCCAACAATGTCACCGACTCTACCCGAAACTGCTACTCCAACCATGTCGCCCACTGTTCCTGAGACTGCCACCCCCACCGTGTCCCCGACGTTGCCAGAGACTGCTACACCCACCATGTCTCCGACGTTGCCAGAGACTGCCACACCCACCATGTCTCCGACTGTGGCCACTTCTGAACCAACCATCGCAGAGACACTCCCAGAGACTGCTGCTCCAACCGTAGTGGAGACGGAACCCGAAGAGATTCCAGTCCCAGAAATCCCCGAAACGGGCGCACCAACAGTTGGAGAGGCTATTGAAACCGCAGAGCCAACTGTTATTGAGGTGATCACTGACATGCCAACACTTGCAGAGATACCAGTAGTTGAAACAGCAGAGCCAACCATGGTTGACGTACCAGTAGTTGAAACGGAGGAACCAACTATGGTTGACGTACCAGTAGTTGAGACAGCAGAACCAACTGTGGTTGATGTACCTGTCGTTGAAACAGCAGAGCCAACCATGGTTGACGTACCAGTAGTTGAGACAGCAGAACCGACCATGGTGGACGTACCAGTAGTTGAGACAGCAGAACCAACTGCGGTTGATGTACCTGTCGTTGAAACGGCTGAGCCGACTGCTGTGGAGGAGCTTCCTGTGGTTGAAACAGCACAGCCAACTGCCATGGACGTGCCAGTGGTTGAAACATCAGCGCCCACAGCGGCAGCCTCGGATCCGGCAGTTGTCACGAGTCCCCCAACTACCGGAAGCGTGACGACGTCAAGCCCCACGAGTCCGGACGAAAGTGGCGAAGGCACTGATGTCCCCGAAACAGCAGCTCCAACTCCTTGCCCCGGTAGAGGGGCTCGTGTCATTGGTACTGTTCTTCTGGAACTGGATCCGAACGCTGAACTCACGGAGCCCACGGAGGACCAGGTTGTGGAGGTGGCACAGCACATTCTTCAAGACTTTGGAGTGCTCCTTCGAGACTTGTATGGATCTGGCATCCGTGGTTTCAGTGCCACAATTGATGAGACGAACACTGCTCTTGACGGTAACGCCTATCCTCTGGGATTTGACGCCAATATTCTGTTTGCTCCATGCGCTCCTCCGCCCGATGTTGTGAATGCCATTTTTGAGGAGGCTGATTACCCAGCGATCCTTGAGAATTTTGAGCCCACAGGTGAAGACAATGTGTTCCAACATTTGACGGGCGAAGCCACGTACTCTGGTGAGGCTGCCATTGAGTTCTAGGTGTATTTTGGTGTAGAAGATCCCAATATATTCGTGTTTCCTGTTTTCAGTAAGTCCTCGTTCCCAGCCGAAGCTCGGTTTTTCTCTTAAACATTAATACAAAAAACAACAGATACTAGTACCATGCATGTGCAACATAGCTTTGCTTCCGATGTTCCACCGCGGCTTCCACTTCTCTTTCTCCGTCAAGCTGCACTCCAGCGTTAGAACGTACCGGTACGGTACTATGTTTCTGCAACAGTAGTTGCACAGTGTCAGTATGTGCTTCCCATTACTCCTAGGTAACTCTACTAGTACATACTGTCAGGATCAAGAACGGTATGCTACGTAGGTACGCCTTTTGGGAGCGGTAGCCTCAGTCACAGCAAAAAGATCCAGGTTTGGTGGGTATAAATGCAGCTTCCAAGCTGCCTTCGACCTGTGACGGTGAACTTTGCCGTTTCCTAAATGATGATAACTGTTGCACGCATGGCATCAGGGCTTGCTAGACAGAAGAAATTTGGACCACATTTCTCGCCCAAAAGACTCCTTCTGTGGACGAAGTTACAATGGCCAAGTCTTTCTCCTTGGATTCGGAAAGATGCAAGTAGTCTATCCAAATTGAAAGCAAACGACTCTTGCACAACAACTTCACCTCGACTTCTTCTGCCTTGATTGGCTTCTGCTACCATTCGAGTAGACTTTTATAAAACCTGCTTGCACCCGACACTGACCATGGCAATACGGCATCCTCACAAATGGCTCCTTTTGATTTCGTGCCTGCTGCTGCTGGAGCTACCGACAGCAATTGGCAAACGTTCTCTCGTCAAGGGAGCAGCGAGTTTGCGACGACGTAACTTGAAAGAAAATCCAGGCTCTGTTGCTGACAGTAGCGTCAGTACCAACCGAGGAGATAAAACCAGACAAGATTCTCCCAGTGAAGATTCCCCCGATGAACCCGCGGTTTCTGAATTTGTAAGCGAAGACGACGAAGAAGAAGAGACGGAGGCACCTGACACAGGAAAGGAAAAGGATGAAAAAGTCGACGAAAAGTATGACGATAAAGATGATAATGACGAGGATACTGGTACTGATAAAGAAGAATCCAAGGATATTGACGTGGAAGAATCCAGGGACACCGACCAAGAAGAATCCAAGGACATCGTCGAAAAGTACGACGACAAAGAAGCAGACGAACCAAAAGATGACAAACTCGAGGAATCAATGCCATTGATTGAGCCAGACAGTGAAGATGTTGCAATGAAGGAGAGTTCCTCCCAACCATCGAAAAAGAAAGGGGCCAAGAAAGCAAAGAAATCGAGAGATAAAGCCAAATACAAGGGAGATAAACTCACTACGATGACCTCTCCTGAGGAGGATGACGAGCTCCCGCTGACCGAGCCGCATACTGAAGGGGTCGCAACGAGGGAGGGGACCTCTCCGCCACCGCAAAAGAAAGCTTCCTCCGCTAAAGCAGGCAAAAGAGCAAGGAAGGGAGAAACCAAAAAGAAGGGCGATAAGCTCATTATGATGGCTTCTTCTTCAGAGGACTCGCCAGATGAAATCATGATGGCTGCTCCTGTGAAGGATTCAACAGATGAAACGGCGATTCCCGAGGACTCGAAAGATCAAGCTCCAAGTCAGGAGTTTCCTACGGAGGACTCGCCAGATGAACCAACAGATCCACCGGCCACAGAGCCCCCCGTGGATCCACCAGCCACTGATCCTTCTCCAGTTCAAGAGACAGATGCTCCAGTTCCACCATTGGACCCAGCAGAACCGCCAACAGCGCCACCAACTGTGGAGCCCGCTGAAACTGATCCTCCAGTTGAAGAAACGGATGCACCAGAAACTGATCCTCCAGCCCCAGAAACAGAGCTTCCGGTTGTGGAAACTGAAGCCCCAGAGATAGATCCTCCTGTGGAAGAGACTGAGGCCCCAGAGACAGAGCCTCCGGTAGAAGAGACTGAAGCTCCAGAGACAGAGCCACCTGTTGTGGAAACTGATGCCCCAGAAACAGAACCTCCCGTGGCGGAAACTGATGCCCCAGAAACAGAACCTCCTGTGGCAGAAACTGATGCTCCAGAAACAGACCCACCTGTTGTGGAAACTGAAGCCCCAGAAACAGAGCCTCCAGTGGTGGAAACTGAGGCTCCAGAGACAGAGCCTCCTGTCGAAGAGACTGATGCTCCCGAGACAGAATCCCCCAATGTCCCAGAAACAGATCCTGGTGTTGGAGAAACTGACGCTCCAGAGACAGAGCCTCCTGTGGAAGAGACTGATGCTCCAGAAATAACAGAGCCACCAACTCCATCCCCATCTGTGTCCCCCACAGCGGCTCCAACCAAGGCTCCTACAGTGTCCCCGACTGGACCAACCTGTCCCAGTGCTGTCCAAATCACCGGAGAAGTGGAATTTAACTTTGTATTTGCAGACCGGGAGCCTACCGAGGCTGAGATTGAATCTGTTGAAGATGCCACCTTGGACTTTTTCGTGGATCTCTTCCGAGAAGAGTTTGGTGATTCTGTGGTGGAAATATCAGGAGGAATTGTTGATAGTGAGTTCGACTTTGGTCCTCCTCCGGTGTTTGAAATGACGTTGGAGGCAATTGTACCATTCTCGGGATGCGCACCACCAATAGACCAAGTCAACGACCTCTTGAACCTCAGTGACGCACAGTACGACGAGTATTTGACGGAATACATATTCCCTATCGAACCGAGTGGGCAACATATTGTAAGTACGCACAGAAGACTGCACCAAACAAACAGAGAACGTGATGATATGCAGAAAAGATCATCATCTCATCATTGCTCTTCTCCGCGTAGTTCGTCCTGGCTGCTAGAGTCAGCTTCGACGGAAGTGCATCTTACGTTGAGGAACCACCCTCTGTAACAGCACCTCCCGAAACCACCGCAAGAGCAGGCAAGTCAGACAAAGGAAACAAGCGTCGCTGAAGTCCTTGACGTGCTTTGTGGCATTTCACTTGCGGTATCGTACAGAACCACAACTTCTTAATTCATAACACGACCCATAGGGCATCATGCATCTGAAATGGTCTTGCCATACCTCAGGAACCGTAGGACATCTGTATTCTAAGTAGCATGTTAGTAAAGTAGCTATTGGACCAGTTACCTAAGGAAAGTCAAGCTCCGTTGTGACTACTCGGGCTCAAAGCAAATAACGCCAGTTCACTTAGCAATTATCCGGTGGAGGCGTGGGTGTTGAATGATGTATTATACATACATGTACTGAGCTAAGGAATGACTCGACTCGACTCAGGTCACATTGGTCTAGCTCTACCTCTGGCAAGGTTGCCTTTTGTGGTCTCAGTGCATGTTCTATTTGAAGTGAGTAATAGAGGAAGCCCTAGCAATGATAGCGCTGTGAGTGGCGCCCATGACCCGTGGAAGGCAGGTCGCATACTGGTTGCTTGCTAGCTTCTCTCTTCTTTTTTGAGAAAAGACAAGATTACTCTGCAGAGCCGAAGCGAAGACCGCAGAAAGAGGCCACAAACCCAAACAAGACGCTGCCGACACTAGCGGGGTATCAGCAAAATTGCACTTATAGTAACAACGAAAACACTATCAGCTTACAAAGCTTTCTTTCTATTTGCCGAAGCCAATCCCATATAATTCGAACAGTGCACTCTCCACGAAAGGAAAAGCATACGTTTTTTTAGCCATCCTTCCTTCTCACGATTTGTTTCCCAGATCCACGCAGTGTAGACTCAGCCATCGAAACAAAACCCAGTTCTCACTCGGTTTTGCTTTGCTCCTGTCAACTATTTAGCTCTCTTGATATTCTTCATCGTCGTCATCAAGCATACCTTCCTCGGCCAAGAATAGGTCACGACGCAATGGAACAAGTGTGGGATTACCGCCACCTGGCATTGGCTGTGGTGGGAGCGTCATGGGGAGAGGTCTGGGGGTAGGTTCAGGTGTGGCAGGCCTGTTGGTTGGTTCTGGAGTCGGACGACGCGTGGGATTTCGGGTCGGGCGTCGAGTCGGCATACCGGTTGGACGACGAGTGGGGGTCCTGGTAGGACGACGAGTGGGCGTAGCAGTTGGATTTCCGGCTGTTGCAGTTGGGGCAGGGGTGGCAGGGACAGCAGGGCCACCAGGGGTTGGCGCAGGGCTAGCAGGGGTACCAGCAGGGGTTGGAGCTGGATCAGTGATGTTCACAATGGCTGCACCGGCAACAAGATCGAGACCTGAAGTGAAGGAGAAGAAGGGTCCCACAGGGATGACCTTTTGCAGGATGAATGTTTGGTAGTCAGCATTTTCAATCACAACCACTACCTCATCTGTAGATGGCACCTCCGTAAAGTCAACATCAGCAAGGAAGTTGGTGTTCCATCCAACACCAGGGGCTTCAAAGTCCGTGAATTCCCCAGCCATGAGGTCAACATAAGTTTCGTTGAATCCTTGAGAGAAAACCATCTTGTAGAACTCGATTGTAACCTCATACAAGGCTTCGAGTTCTGCTGCTGTAGGGGCGGCAGGGATCTCACCAACTCCACCTCCCATGTCACCAATCTTGTAGGTAATGTTGACACTGGTGGCAATACGTCCCTCAGCCACGGGACCCATTGCCGCTGCGCCTCCGGGGGTTGGGGCTGCAGGGATGCCACCACCAAGTCCAGAACCAATTGGGGCTGCTGTTGTAGTGGCAGCGGTAGGCTCTGGTGTTGGCGTACCAGTCGGGCTCCTGGTAGGATTCGGTGTTGGGTCGGGTCCTGCCGCCGAGGCCATGGTCATGGACGATCCGGACTTGGACATCATGGATTTGGATGTCATCGACTTGCTGATCATGGACATGGAAGTCGACATGGATTTCGACGACATCGTGGACATTGACTTGGAAGACATGGTTGACATTGTCGAGGACATCATTGACATGGATGACATCGTCGACATACTACTCTTGAGTGCTCTTCCACGGTTGTGGTGGCGCTTACGGTCTAAACCACGAACATACCCAGTCTTCGCTGCTGCTCCATTGAGCAACAGCAGCAGCGCTGTGATTACCTTGCCAGCTCGTGTCATTGTCGTTGTTTGTTCGAAGCTCAAAGGGGAGGAACTCGGAAAATGAGTATGACTTTGAACTAAGGCATGGAAAGTACGATTGCAACTGTTCAAGCACCGGGGTGGTTTCACACCCAACTTTGTGCTTCAAGCAACGAAAACATGGTGGGCTTCTGACATAAAAAGGTGATGGACGAGAAATTTCACGTCTCTTTGGCGGTGATATTCGTCGAGCAACCTTGGAAAACAGTTCCGGCTTGACTTGGTGTGGAAACTCGAGCGTCCATCGATGCCAAAAGAATAGACGACATCCCAAATTTGTCCTCGGCCGCCAAAGATGGAGGAGTTCGCACCAAAATTGTGAATGAAAAAGGGGTGAAATTGGGGTGACAGTTGACGCTGATTTACTATAGGCAAAACAGTACTGATCAATTAGAGCACCGTGACCCAGTCATTTGCAGCGATAATGACAGAACATTCAATGGATGGTATTAATGCCTGATTTAAGAAAGTATTTTAAAAAAAGGAAAAGAAAGAAAGTTTCACAGAGGTTTTCAGCATACACATTGGGTTCAGAGAGGCTTGGATTCTATTACTAACAAATAACACGGAGGAAAGTCGGCCAGGCACACTCTAGGTTTTTATATAGCTAAATAAATATCATTAAGACATCAACTTCAACCGTCGATAATTTGTGTGTTAGGGTTGAGGATAGTCGACTCACACCACCAACAGCAGCACCAAACACCAACCAGCTTGCTTGTATCGAAGACAAGCCACAACAAGAGGACAATGGCGTCCATACTCGTCAGTCTCCAAGGCAACACAGGAATGAAGGATCCGGAGCAGCACCCACACACAGCTACAAGCAGTAGCCAACATCAGCAGGAACAGACCAATCTGTAGAGAGAGAAGAGAGAAGAAGAGATGAGCGCATCACGACACAAGCAACAACAGCAACAATTTCACGATGGGCCGACTCACTCTTCAGCCTCTTCGGAATTCAGTGCATCTGGGACAATCCTTTCTGGTATGTACCCTCATCTGAGTCGGAGTCATCGTTGAGATTGGCGCCTCCAAACTTCTCCTGGATGGCAGAGAAACCGACACTAGTATCCTCAGAAGCCATCGATTCATACACAGACTTGTTGGCCTTGCCGGGAGTCTTGACAGTTTCCATGGAGACATCAACCTTCCTTGTCATCGACTTCACGGTGTCATTGTCGCTTGTCCTCTTTCTTAGGAGGTTTGGTGCTGTGGATGAACGTCCCACAATAATCCTTTTCGCCACCACTGCCATGCTGCAGCATGCCGAGTCAGAAAAAAAAACTAACCGGGTAAGCCGCCCACCGTCTTACGAAAGGCCACATCAGGACAGTGTCCGCACCGCTAAATGCCTTGAGAGTCTGTGGCTTGGCAGAAGTTGCCCTCCTGTGTCTTATCTTGCTTCTCAAGCGTAATCAACAAAAATGCATCGCCGTAAAAAACAATTCCCTCGCAACAAGCTGTGCAAAAACAGATACAAACTGGGAGCTCCGCCTCTAGAGGACCTAACATAGCCCCGGTGGCTTCACCTCCCCGCCGAGCCTGCCCATGTTGCCACCCGTCTGGCTAATCATAATCACTCCTAAACTATGGACCCAACCCCCACGTATGGCTCTAGGGATACTTACACTCCCCTTAAACACAAAAAAGAAAACACAACGCTCTGGGCTTACGAGAAAAAAAACAAGCTGCAACAAAAAAACGCCCATGTGTCGCGTTCTATGAAGAATACTCCACACACAAATGGTCAGGTGGCCGTATCCCGAGAAAGGGGTTTCGTTCAACCCTGTTGACGGTGACTGCTGCGCCCCCGCTGCACAAAAAAAAGCAGGAGAAAAAGCGGTCCGCATGAGGCGACTGAAATAGTGTGCTGCAAATCGCGTGCAGTGTCTTGAGCGCTCAGCTTCGATGCTTGTCCTACCAAATCTACCACGCATCAGGCCCTTTAAAAATGCTGCAGCGCCAGCGGAAATGAAAGACTAAACGATCTATTTCGCTTTGGTCAGTAGTTTGAACTTGATTTACTCAGAGATACGGGGAGTATCGCGAAGAATCCGGTGTCTCGATTCTTATTGCGTAACCAAGGTACGCCCTCCTGGCAGGGCTAGGCTTCGCGTCGTGCGGAATCGAAAAGACAGCCTTGCAACACTCCAACTAGACACATATGAAAAACAAAAAGGTCCATAGTGAGGGCAAAAGACCACTCTGGGCCATGCCGCGAATCCCCGGTTGAGCAGATTCCACGCTACGCACACAAAAAACTCACCAGTAACTCGCCGCCCTCCACTACAGGCCCCCCCCAATACATAACTCGGCTGTAGCATATTGAGTTAGCCAGAAAGAAAGAATTACGCGTTGCGTACTTTGCCCCGCGCGTTGCGTCTGACCGAGCGGCCTTCCGAACGGCACTATGAAACACCTGCTTCCTAATAAACAGAATTTGCGGTGACGCCCCGAAAAAACAAAAAAATGGATAACGAAAGAGATAGCTAGAAAAGACCAATAGAAGGTCAAGAAGAAAGTCGACAAGAGCAGCAAGCGCAACAAGCGAGTGCAAGGTAGGAATAATGGCCCCAAGGAAAAAAGACTTCCGGCTTTATCCCTCGACCAGAAGCTGAGCTGAGGAGAACCTGGTTGGTTGAGATCCCCAGCCTGTCGAAACAAAACCAAAGTTTCGCAACTATACGAAGAACCTTCTCAGTCCCATAATCGCAGCCTTATTCATTTCCTGGCCCCAAAATGCTTCGCAACGACATAGATCACTATCAGTTTCTCCCGAATCAACAAACTGAATACCCCCCACCAAACAGGGCAACCGGAAACAAATCCGAGTTGGTCCAGGAAAATATCTGACCACAAAACATTGCGATTCATCAGATTCGCTTCCTTACATATTCTATTGTTCATGACGAAAACCACGGAATACCTAAGACGATGAAATGAAATAACTGTAGAGTAACTGTAAACCCGCCTGGTGTCGAATCTCAGGGCAAAGTATGAAAGCTATCAAAAGCATAAAGGGGAAAAGAAGCTGTTGCCCGGACTACGACAATACAACCGGAGACTCTTCTCGGACGTGATAAGTATGGACGCCTAATACACAACAAAAGCTGATATCGACGGTGGCTCGTTGGCTACCGCCCAGTTCTGGCATGGCATAAGAACAGTAAAATGAAATATCAACCCCCCCGACGCCTCCCCCACAGAGGAGTTTGCCCCGACTCTATCGACACCATGAAACTCGACACAACAGATAACGACATCCGACCGCAGGAACCAGGCGGCATACAGCATCCCCTATAAAAATACCACTTCACTCATTATTATGACTATCGAGATCTTCTATTTGTCGAAAAAAACACGTGCACCTTGACTACTACTTTGTAAACCGCCAAGCCGACATCAATTTTTTGTTAATTTGGCTAGATCACCTCGAGCCTACTTCTTACTCTCGTCAAAGCTAAGGTGCGCGTGCAGCCACTCTCGACTCCTCATATCTAATCTATCTATCTTATCTCACTTCGAAACCAGAGATGACTAACGTGCGGCCCATCCCGCCAGCTGCACCTACAGGAACGCAAGTACAAAAAAGGTGCAATATGCTCCTTGGACCGATAAGAACGTAAGGCAAAAGTTACCCTAAAACCCGTCAAATCCGACATAAATAAGCCTTAAACTTACCTCCCTCAGTAGCTCGATACTTCTCTGATTACCTCCTTCGTTCAAAAAAGCCCCCTGCAGTCTAAATCCAGTTGGAATCCCCCCCGCCTCGACACAAAACAATCCGCCCAGCTCCCCCAAATCCCGAGAAAAATCAAGTCTCTGTCTGTGCATGTTGCTCCCACCAACTAATGGCGCCCCACACTCTCCCCCCGGAAAAATCGAGAGGCCTTTTGATGATACCTCCCAAAAACACATCCCCCAACAAAAAAAAAAACCACGGTTAGAGAAAACAAATGAAAACCAATAAAACCCCCCTACGATATAAAACCCAATTATACCCTAAAGCTCGAAAAAGAACCCTCGAATGAACAAGAAAAAAAACACAGATAGAAAGGCTGCAGGAAAACGATGACAAAGTATTTGGTTTCCGAGGCACAAACATTGCATATTAACCCCCACCGCAAATGGAAGATTTTCCAGTGGAACGTTGTCTTTCAAATGGAGCCAGGCTCCAGGAAAGAGAAAACCAAAAAGCATAAATACGAACCTCCGCGCCTCTCCTAAATGATAACCTCCACACCTCTCCGTAATTCTGTGCCACAAATCAGCCAAAAAACACCTAAAAACGTCCCGCCAAAAAAAAAAAAAAAATAATAGTAATCGACCGACAAAAACCGGCCCATCAACTAACGAAGAGAACAAGCTGGAACTCACTGACCCCTTCGAACGTATGTTGAGCTACTTGCGCACCGGAAAAAAAACAACCTTCAAATCCCCACCTTCCGATCCTAATCTAAATCCAAACTGTGTGCAAAAAAAGTACTGTCAAGACCTCCCCCGCTCTCCCGTTCTTCTCCGATGCGCTATTACAAGAATTGACGAGCTCGCGCGACATTTCAACCAAACAAAACTCATCAAACCAAAAAACATGATACGCACGGAAGAATCCAACAGCACAACAACTTGCCGGCAGAATGACCCCGAACAGTGTCAACAGATCGGCAGCCATAACGTAGGGTGAACCGCCTCCACATTGATAAAGTAAGATAATATGCTGAAAAGCTAATAATGAAAACGTCTGAACGTGGATCTGCCCATAACTACAAAACAGACAACCATTAAGCGGTAAAAACCAAATGAAGGTAAGCGAATATTGAAAGCATCAACGGAGGCGATACCAATCCCCGCCTAGAATCAATGCTGTATCGAACCCCTGAGTGATCAGACAGATCTGCATTAAAAGTACACATACAAAAAAAACAACCCGACTCAACACAAAATTATTATGGCCTGCACGCCTGCCAAACAGCTAACCTTCCAAGTCCAACCCGCCCGAAACAGTCCAACCCCAGCATAGCCGCAAGCCTATGTGATCACAAAAAACACACATTAAGGCACTCACCAACCGCGTGCGCCGTAGCATCCGTTGTGCCCCAACAGCCTAACGTCCTAGCCCCCCCCCACACGAAATGGCCCCA